ATTTAATTGTAATTAAATTTCCGTTTCGTTTACCGTTTTAATAGACTATAAAATGGATATTTATTTCAGGACAAAAGAAATGAAACATTAAAATTATTTATAAGAGTTATTATCTAGGCCATAGTTAATAAAATTAAATCACTTTGGTGATTATGTAGGTTATTATTAAGTTTTATAATCAATCAATTGATGTACAGTCGAAAATGTAAGAAAAGAGATACTTTCAACTGTAATTCGTTGAAGGTGGATTGATGAGGTTGAAGCATTTGATGTATATTTTTTTCAAGTCTGTGTAATTCCGGCGAAATCGGCGCCAGATACTATATGAATCGTGATTGACTTATTGAATGCAGCTTTCAATATTATGAAAAATTGATTCAGCATTGAAACATGTTCTGCTTTATGAAGTAGGTTGCAATTTCACTTTAATATACAACACTAATGTTAATGAATACCAAATATCTCAATCTAGTCTTTAAGTTAAATAAGTTTCTCCTGCTAAATTTACGTATTTGAATGTTAACATTGACATTTGATACTTGATAGCTATTCTTACTAATATAAATATTTAAATGTTCGGAACTCATTTTTTACTCTACATCATCAAAGATTATTAACTTACAGAAGAATTATATTTTATGCCGGTGCAGAATGTTCTTCAAAGGAACATCAAACCTCACTAATTACCTCATACACATCCTTACATACCCAACCCTCCTTCTTTACCCGGGCTTGTGACCAGCAGTAACCCTAGAGAAGCTAGAGGCGGAGCCAGAATACATTTACACCTAAGAAATCGTCAAAGCGTAATCCCCATCACTTTAAGTATACATCAATAGTCAAAAAATTATTGTGGTGAATATTTTATATGAGTATCTGTTACTTGTAATAAATTCCATTTATTTTTATCCTATACCTCTGTTGGTTTGTCTAAAGAAGAATTTTTGAAATGAAATTGAGTCATGAGATGTGCAATTCAGATGAAAAATCTTTCAAAGAGAAATACTGATTAACTTATTACTTGCATGATAACATTTCATTCTGTTTAATTTCTCCAGGAACATCGATTTTCGTTACTGTTAAAAAAGATTGCATTCTTTTAGGTTTGTTGAAGCATCAATTTGCTATTCTTCCACCCTATTTCTAATGTGACACAAATGAAAAGTGAATGCTTAATTACTCTTATGCACTGAGTCTACTAATTCTTCTACTTAACAGTAGATATTCTCTTCCGAACTAATTGGAAAAGAAAGTTGTCTACTTTCACTGTTCACTGCAATCTTCATGAATTATGATTGTAACTTTCAATTTCCTTCAACATATGAATACAATGAGATGTGTAGAAATGTGATGTTGTTTAAGTGCATATCGACATTTAACAGAACAAAATTATCGATTATGAAGTGAATTTAGAAAGAGACAGAGGCGGCGAAATGTTTAGAAGTCAAAATATTCCTGTATTTGATTTGAGAACTGTGAAAGCGGTTGGCATTATCAACCAATTTCAACGTTAACCAATTTTGCTTATCTAGGCTGGTTTGGACAAGAGTGTTCAACTGATCATAGGGATTTTCGAATTGAGCATCTATCAATAGATCAGAAATCTTGACATGTGCAATGGAGCAATTAAATCCATGAGATAGGGCTTCTTCCTCAAATAATCACCAATTAACATGTTTGTGTGGATGCATAGACATACGGAGGAGGAGCAACGGAGCCATGCAATCAAGCATTATTTAACATGTGCCTAGATGGCTTCAAAACCAATTAATGTCAAGTGGTCGAATTAACGTGTGAGGTAGAAAATCATGTTCATCAATAGAGAAACATATAATTGAAACGCGTCACAAAATTGACAATAATACAGCTTTTAAAACATTGTATAGAAATTGTCAAGAATGAATTCTCAGGTTTATTGAAGCCTTTGTTATTCGTAAATTTAAATCTCCCTTATGCGTAGAAGAACAGTTTGTCGTAACCTAGAATATATTTTGGTAATCCTTGAGTCATTGTATGGAATATGATAATGCGACAATTTTTTGTTGTTTCTATACTATGTACAATGTTTCTCCCAACTTTGTTACCAGAATGAAATTTTCGATTGTGAAGCAAATTTAGAAACAAAGTTAATCTTTATTTAATTCATGATAAAGATTCAGAACATTTGATTTATGCAATCTATAATGAACAGTTGCTCAGGATCTTACTTCCAGACGTTTAGCTATTTTAGAATCAACAAGTGAAAATCGAAATTTCCCTGTTATTCATGTAAACAAAACTTAGTAGTGTACACGATACCAAGATTTGTGTGAAACAGTAGTTTATTTCGACATCATTAGATATCACTAAAATGTCGATGTGATCAGTGAAATGAATAATGTTTTATAATTTCTTTTATATTACATTTAGAATAAACTCTGCCCTCAGCCCCTCTGGTGCTACTGCCGGTCCCAAGCCCGGATAAAGAAGGAGGGTTTTTCATAGGGTTAGCGACCCCATCCCGTAGAAAACTAGCTCGCTAAAGAAACGTTAACCAGAAAAAATAATTCAAACCATTTAGTCTCTGCCCTGAGAGTCAGAAGGTCTTTATTTAGAAGAGCTATGACGCCTCATGGTGAAAGCCGAGTTCCCTCGGAAGTCACGAGTCCGATGCCGCTTCTGACAACCAGAGCAACCATTTGTTTAGGTACATGGAATTCTCGTATAATGTGGGTGACCAGGAGGGTCTTTCAAATTGCTGCAGAAATAGAGATACAACCTAGAGACCACACTATGAGGAGATGAGTCATACCATAGCAGTACCTTTGCAAACTGTTTCATCACTCATTTATTCGTTAAGACCTACTATGTATGAGAAATGAAAGGTTGCTATAGATCGATTGGAAGATATTTAAATAAAAGGTACTCGGGAAATGCAATATGAATCACACTGCAATGTATGATAAGCCAATATTACTGTTATGAGATTTAAAGATGTGAAGGTGAGAATCGGCAAAACAAGAGCAGCATATTTACAAATGAAGAACATTTGGAACTCAAAACAACTGTCTGTCAACCAACATCAAAGTCAGAATTTTCAATACAAATGTCCAAACAGTTCTACTGTATGGGGAGGAAACTTGGAGAACTACGAAAGCTATCATCTAGAAGATACAAGTGTTTATTAACAGTTGTCTACGCAAAATAATTCGGATCCGTTGGCCAGACACTATCAGCAACAACCTGCTATGGGAGAGAACAAACCAGATCACAGCAGAGGAAGAAATCAGAAGGAAGCTCTGGAAATGGATGAGACGCACATTGAGAAAAGCACACAACTGCGCTACAATGCAAGCTTTCACATGGAATCCTGAAGGCCAAAAGAGAAGAGGAAGACCAAAGAACACATTAGGTCGATAAATGGAGGTAGACATGAGAAAAATGCACAAAAATTGGACAAAACTGGAAAGGGAGTCCCAGTACAGAGTGGGTTGGAGAATACTGATCGGTGGCCTATGCTCCATTGGGAGTAAAAGGCGTAAGTAAATGATTTGCATAGTTTTGTTTTCCTAAAATCTTTATTCTGTAATCATCCAATCTGCCTATTTTGGATTTTATTTTCCATAAATAAATCACTTACCAAGTGAATTTGAGAACAGATTTTTCAAAACGTATTTCCTATGAAGTCACATAGTTCTGAAATACTTCGTATTGCATTATCTAGATCGAAGCAAAGTTCCCAAAACATCTAGTAATTAATCACTTCTGAGAGAAAATGCTTCGTTTGGTTCATCCAGACTACAATGCATAGTAGCGTGCAAATATAATTACTTTGGAAAGAGATGACAAAGCGATATCACTAAAACTTAAATATTTTATGTACTTTTAGTAGGATCGTACATTTAGACGTCAATTAAATCGGACGATATTGTCGATAGGCTCACCACTTTTGTGGCCTTATATCTGAACGCACTTCAATCGTTTCTGATTTCTATTGAAATATACATATCGTCAATCCTCGTATAGAATTATCGACTTAGATCGCGTTATTGAATAACGGAATTAAATAAGCCAAATACGAGAATGGATTTTCGAATACATATATTTTATACACTCATTGACCTGGGAAGTCAATCAGAGGACTGAAGCGAAGAGAAGAGAGCGAAGCGAAATGACGCGCAATGAAGAGAGTGTGTATGCCAACTTGATTTAATCAAACGTTAATCAATATGTACAGCCAGATAAAGATAATTTACAGACATGTGATGAATAGGACAAGAAGTGTACACGCATATAAAAGGGTTAATAAGTGAATAATTAACAAGTTCAAAGTGTGACTCTAGAAGAATGGATAAATTGACCTGTCCAGAAGCTAGGATAAGGTATATGAGCTTAACATAGCAGCCGACACTACATATTCCTCAGTTAAAATGTACATAGAAACACCTTGATCTTAATTACTTTTCAGTTTCCCAAAGTCATTTGTATTTCTTGAAATAAAGTATTTAATACATATTTAGTAAGATCTGGTGTTGCATTAAAAACCAGCAGATAACTTATAAATAACTGAATGTTTTGAAAGTTTCAGTTAAAAATCATCCTTGATTAAGTGATATGACGGGATGAAAAGTTCAAATTATAATAATTTTCTAGTCAACTCAGTGTAATATTTATTTCTGTTTTTCAGTGTGATATTTCATTCTATATAACATACGATATTCTTATATTCCATTGACATGAACTCTTTTCAGTATGATATGTAGCATGTGATTTATTATAACCCTAAGTGATTTCATTCTAATTATTAATCAAAATGAATGGATTTCAACTATATCTGATGAGATTGTTTTTCCAACAACAACAAAAATGCCAACAAACAAATGAAAAATGGTTTTAGTCAATTCCTATTTTACCCCAAAATGAAACTATCAGGAAGACATTGGACAATATTAGGGCTCTTCAATAACATGAATTGTTTTTAGTACAATAATTTGTTATATTAAAAGGAATTAATTAATTAACTTATTTTATTAACCAATCAGATATTTATTGTAGTTCACTTTTAAAAATGATTGGTTAATTTACTTTTTATCATTAAATATTTAATGTTAAATCACTTGATTTAATGTTACTTACAAAATATTGTGCATTGCAAGAACCTTAAATAATCCAATCTATGTAAGTTCTATTAAATAAAAATGTTGATATTTTGCATAGACTATTAAATTAATGGTATATTGGGTTAAAACCAGAGTGTTTAACTTTTTAAATACACTTGATAAACTGGTTTCTTAAGATCTTTATTTAACTCTATGAATGATAGATGTTGAAAAATTAGTGAATACTCACTTCATACAAAACCGTCAATTATTCAGAGTTCTTTGTTAAAAGCCATTAACTTTTATGCATTATACTATGAATAGTTGCCTAAATATCATGAATGGATGGAAGTATTTACCTGTAAAATTAAGTTTTGTTCAAAGTATAACATTTAATCTAACTGATAATGAACAAAATTCCGTCATCAAATTTTAGTCTTTCTTGTTTTTCAACTGGTTTTGTATTAGAGTCCATAATTTATTAATTAAATTGTGTTACACTGTTGTGTCATGACATATCATTTGTTATCAATTTAGTCATCAGTATGGGGTTGTGGAGATCATTAAGCTCCTGACTGAAATTATGAACCGATTGATGTTAGATTACCATTGAAAACCTGGAAGAACTGGACGCCGTTCCGTCCCATTATGGGACTCCTCAGCAGTGCGCATCCATGATCCTGTTTGCGGAGTTCGAACTCAGGACCCTTGATCTCACTCGCAAACTCTTAACATCTAAACTACTGAGCTGGCTTCTAGTGGTGTTAATGTCTAATCTCAACCAATCCACAAAATTGTGCGATCATCTCCCATTGTACTGAAGTGGATGACTGTCTCTACCCGACACGGAGTTCTAGTGAGAAACCGTGACCAAAATTGTCACGGAGTATGTGAATAAAATTCTTAGTTCTATGTTCTTGCTGATGACTTAATAAAACAAGCTCTTGTAGCATGAAGAAGTAAGTTGGTTGTTTCACCGTAATATCAGAATAATACAGCAGGATATTTACCAGTTTACTGATCATTCGTGAAATCCAGTACTCATCAATTATCATTTGTTTTGTTTATTCATAACAGAATTCAACCAAACCAGTAAAATGTAGTCAGGTTCTAAAAAGCAAACATTGTTGGTTCATTATTTATGGTCAAGGATGTTATTCACCTCCCTATTGATCAAATGAAATGTGTTTGTCATGTGATTCAAGTACCTATGTGATAGTCTTCTTTACCTCTCTTGTTTTAATTCAGTTAGATACATGAGTAAAAATACTAACCACTTTAAATGGTACTTTGTGCTATACTGCCTGATATATTTTATGTACTGGGAGAAGATAATATAAGCCGTACGATTCAAGCTGAGTTGTTTAAAATTATCCTACTGGCTGCAGTAATTGAAGACCTGTGATCTGATTTTCTCTAAGGTCATCGGTTTGCATTGATAAGAATCGTATAAAACTTAATGAACCTACCCTAACTTTCACACTTCTTCTGTTCATTATGACTATGAAACTGGTAACCATCCTAACCATCAGACAGAAGGGAGTCTTATCAAAGGAAAACTTAACTATCCAATCCTTTGGGAATGTTTAATGTCTGAATTAGTTATTGCTATTCATAGAGGCGTTTCTATCGTTATAATCTTAGTGGAGAACAGAATAAATCTGATTGAAGATTGCCATCCAAGCTTTAAGACTATTGTACAAGTTATATTACATATATTGTAGCCGTGTGAACTTTCTGATGAATATAAATATGCTATTTCATTTCTATCACCATGACCTATCAAACAATAAGCTCCAACAAGTAAGGTAAAGGGAATCTTAGCCATCGACTGACAAAAGTCGAGCACGATTATAAAAAGCAGTGATATTTCTGAGATTTAAAATTGATTTGATGATTTATTAGGGTCTTTGGAAGGTTCTGAAATTTTCAGTACAAAATACATATGGCTGAAAGTATTTACACATTGTATAGGTTGACGTTGGTTTTCATCAAGATAATCATAGAAAACCGATGATTATTAAATGAACGTTTCTTTCCAACTTGTAAATCTCCAGCAGCTTGAACTTACAATCTTATGACCTAGTCTCACGGCTAATGTGGTATGTAAATACTGATTCATTGAAATATGGTGATCCATATTTCTAGCCTTGTTCTAATCACAGCATACATCGACTAGCACTCAATATCACTAAAGACACCTGTTCTCATCTTTCTATGAAACTGTTAGTTTAAAACTTCATGGGTTTGATTAACATAATTTTAGATGATAGATGATGGTCAACTGAATATATTTGGTAAACAATTAAGTATGTCGATAAACATAAATTTGTAGTACATTATATTAATTAGAAAAGTCAGAAATATAACACCGCTGGATGCCGGTTCAGTGTTCTAGAGGTTAAGCGTTCGCGCTTGAGACCAAAGTCCCTGGGTTCGATGGATGCGCACTGCTGAGGAGTCCCATAATAGGACGAAACGGCCATCCAGTGCTTCCAGGTTTTCAATGGTGGTATAACACCAATCTGTTCATGATCTCAATCAAAACCCTAATGCTCTCCATAACCTTAGAGTAAGGAATATAATTAATAAATAAAATACTGGTCGCGTATTATCGAAGTTTGTATGTAACTTAAATAGATATTTAAATCCATTTTAATCCATACTGTTACTGAAATTTGAAAATTATTATGCAATAAACAAATATGAAAAATTGTCCATTTTCCTTTCATAGTTTTTTATTTACTTACTATTTGTCCTTTATGATGCATTAAATAGAGTAAATGAATAATTTTTCAAATAGAATTTCGATTAAAATCTTTATTGTTGTTTTTATTCTCTTTAAACTATTCACGGGTGTACTTTGATAATTTCAAATAATACGTGATTGAATAACAGTAAATATGAATTGATTTAAAACGTGACTAGAATTATTCATTTTGTAAGGCGGCCTGGTTGAATATTTGCGCTACCTGTTCCTGTCCTTTAGATATTTCAATAAGTTATCTGGGTTTTTATTTGTTTGTTTTGGGACATCATAGCAGGCAGGCAGGCAGGCAATATGCATTGAAAAGAATGAATATTATTCAGATGTTGATTCCTGACCTGCTAAAATCTAACTAGCGATCACTCAGTCATGTGAATAAAATCCATAGCAAGATAATTTCATCTTGTCAGTCGAAGTAATCTTAGCAATAGTAATGAAAATAATAATAACAATATCGTTGTGAGAATTGGGAGGGGAAAAAGAGGTTTATTGTATCCAGTTTAGGTATCCGATGATCCAGTCGAGGGCCATGGTAAACATTGGGGCTAGATAAACCTCTTCCGAATACACAAGTTCGGTTTTCTGGAGTTGATCCAGATGGCTTCAGCTATATAGAGTTGCCGTAATCTATAGGTAAATTCATTAAAACTTGATATAAAAAAGAGAAAGCTTCCTCTGTTTTAATATGATTTTCACTATCTCCCAAGTTAGAAAGAATGGGGCTGTTAATCAATTTAGTGATTTCTTTTCCTAACCATGCTAGTACATCTTTATGAACATGCAAAGATAAAGCCCTCTAAGTACGGCCTGTGTAATTAGCTCTGCAGTAGCAGTCGAATTGGTGTACACATGGAGGAGCCCATCATCAGTAACCTATCCTTAATTCATTGTGTAAGTACTGGTTTGATCGAGAAAATTATATGTAAATTGGTGGTGTGAAATGTCCTTTGAACAGATCTTTTGAGTCGACGAGTTAAAATGTTACTCGCTATGTCCCTTTTAAAATCCAGTTTCAGATAAAGGGTTATTTTACTGACCATGCCACAGTTTCTTCCTATTTATTACCTTCTAATAGAAATTTTCGGACAAAATGATCTAGATAGCCGTTATTTCGTAAAGTTTTCTTTAGCTCACCTATTTCGTTATCTACTCTATGTTCAGAACATAATAGTAAGATTCTGTGACTGAGACGTTTAGCCCATTTTATTTTGCATTGAAGATTTGTAAAGCTATGGAAAGGGTATATTGACCTGTCCATAAATTCTTTTTAAATACATTTTTTGAAACTGTCTATCATTCTAGAAAGTAGGATATCAAGGAAAGCTATACTATTGTCGTTCCCCTCTTCACTGGTGAATTTAATAGCTGGGTGGACATTATTGCAACAGTTCAACAGCTCTTGTTTGTCTATACTAACTGACTAATCATAATATGAGATGGGATTTTGGAATTTCACTAGTTTTATTTCAATATAAAACACTGAAATGCATAAAGATTTGTGGAATGTATACTACTTGTCTGTTCTTGCTAGAACACATATTACATCATACTATATTGAACCCTATTATTCAATATAAAGCAAATTAATAACATAAATTCCACAATAAATCTCATTGTGTCATATTGAAATGTAAATCAGTGATGTTGCGAAATTAAATCTCATATTCTTTTACTAGTTATTTTGTTAGGAAATCAATAGAAAACGAAGAGAAAAGTAAAAAGAAAAGAAACAACACCCGGTAACTTTTTCTCATTTAAGACACATATCATGATTGAAACATTGAAATTATTTTCTTTTCTATTAAATAATCATTGTCAAATTAAATAAACAAATTGCACAAGTTTTAATTCTCAAAAAACCAAATACATCGAACAATTATTATCATTCTAAGTGCGTTTTTTTGTGTATGGAAATAAATGGTTTGCATTAGTTTACACCGTATATCAACTGTTTCTTTAATTAAACATAATAAACAACACATGAAATTAGTTATGTATGCAATTCTAAGAAGAAATACATCACTGACAAAATGTTAGACATCAAAATGATGTATTTAATTTGTTAAAAAGAAATAACTTTTCATTATGAGTAATATGTGACTTTAATTCAACTGTGAAAAAGAATGAGATTCTTCTTCTTCAAAAAGAAAAGTGTCACAAATAGAGATAAGGTTGAACTAGTTTCACGGTTGACCAATATAAGATCGAGTTAACCTGAAATAAATACACAAGAGAAGGAAATAGAATTTATAAACTCATCTGTAGAATATCTGATAATTTATATGAAAATGATGGAATGTTATGACATGAAAAATAATTACAAAAACTGGTTGATGTTATACCAGCATTGAAAACCTGGAAGCAATGGACTCCTCAGAATTACACATCCACGATCCCGCCACCTCGCGGGATTCCAACCCATGGCCTTGAGTGCGAATGCTTGACCTTTAGACCACAGTTGGATGCCGACTCAATGGTCTAGTTGTTAAGCGTTCGCACGCGAGACTGAAGGCTATGGGTTCCAACCGCACAATCGAGATCGTGGATGCGCACTGCTGAAGAGTCCCACCATAGGATGAAATGGCCGTCCAGTTCTTCCAGGTTTTCAGTGGTGGTCTAACATCAATCGATTCATGATCACAATCAAAAACTTAATAATTTCCACAACCGTATACTGATAATTACAAACATTTTAGAATTTTTCTTTATATTTGCTGAACATTTTAATGAATAAGTGATTGGAATTATTGAGTGGTTTTCAAATACATCAACGTAGGACAAAGATGTATATGTGAGTTGATGAACTGCAATTAATTATACGATCTTTATGAACAGTGTATGTCATTAGACATCATCTGACATTAACTAACTTCCATCAAATACATATCTACCTATGTTTCTAAATTCAAATGACTTTTTATGAAGATAAAGATTGTCTTTGATGAAATCCAAGAAAGATGACCATTTTAGAAATGGCCAAGTTAATGATTTTCACTGACACTGACATCGAAGTTTAAACGAGATATATAAGGAATTAGATCTTTTCATAAATTTTTGTCAGACAATTTTTATATAATAAAATAGTTGATTCCTTTGATTATTACCAACTTGGAGCATAAATAATTTCTCCATATAATACCAAAAATAGAGAAGTATAGAAGTCTTCTTGGATTCCTGACCCATATTCTATGGTAAAAAAACGATTTATGAAGAGTTTGATCGAACTAAAGTTTCTATTGTTAACTTTTTTGATTCAAAAATAAGTAGGTACTAACATATGTTCATCTTTGGCAACAATTATTCTCATATCAATATGTTCCTAGATTTTCAGTCAACTGATCTGACGACTCCTATGCTGTCTAAAGTCATAGGTAAGAACTGATCTAAAGACTTTAAACAAAAATTCTGGGAGCATAGATGAATTCACAACAGAATGAATTTTCTAGTTTCGAAAACCACTTTCATGACATGGATTATTACTTATGTACTCATTTTAATTAACTGTCAGAAATAATACAGAGGCATTTATATAGATAAAACTATAAAATAAAATTTCAATAGTTAAGATCATGAGTCAAGTGAAGTTAAACCACCATGGAAAACTTGGAATCACTGGAGTCCCACAATAGAACGAACCAGCCCTTCAGTGCTTACACGTTTTCCATGATTGTCTAGCTTCCATTGACTCATGATTTTAACTACTAAAATTACTATCATATCTACAATAACCGCTTCTGATATTAATAAAGGAAAAGCTTTTCCGCTATGTATGAATGTAATGAAATCAAGATGTGTGTAATTATTTTTATAAAATGTTTAATAAGCTAATTGTTGTTTTTTAACATTCCAATAGATAATGACTTATCATTGGTTGATTAGTATACAAATCTCATTGTTATTTGTTAACTGCTTATGTAATGGATCAGGTTAGTGAATACTTGCATATTTCAAATTAGTTTTATACCTAATTACTAATAGTTTTCCAGATAAATTGGGTGATATTTTTGTACGTCTGTATCTAATTGTAATAGAGATAACAGAATTAGAAGAGACTAATTATAATTCGGTACACGTGTTGAAACTATTCTCATAGACAAATTGCATATCCAAATTACAACTTTTAGGTTGTTTTTCTAATAAATTCTACTGAGATAGTGGAGATTTGTAGTTTAGATGGATAATTTTAGATGGAGTTTTGTTCCCTGAACTGGGTGGTTTAATCGTATAGCTTTTATTGTTATTCTGAACGACATCATCAGCACAAACTTCAAGTAGAAGTTGATGGTATCATTCACAATAATGATGAAATCTTCACGACCAAACTATCTAACTCAGAGAACAAAACTTCACCAAAAATAATTCCTACTGTTTTCAATCAAACATATTATTTTCAGATGATTTAAAATCCCATCACATGATTAACCAAGTATCAGTTATCGTTTTATTTAACGCATCCGCAGCTTCCGTTAGTTAGAAAAAGTAATATCACTTATAGAACTAGACAATAATCAATGAGGATTATTAGGTGAATGAATTCTGAAATATAGACCATCATCAATCATTTGACTTATTCATATTTCTAGCACGATTCGTGAATTTCAAAGTAGCTAAAATAATCTATGCATAACTTGTCTATTTCAAGTGGGCTTTTAAGCTCACACTGATCCGCAGTGAGAGCTCAATTGAAATATTGCTTTTATAAAAATATTTTGACAAAAGTAAACAGACTAATCGTTAAAGGTGCTATTGAAACATCTTAACTTATTTATAAATAAACTAATAATTTAGTTATGAGAAAAAATTTACTGAGATTGTTATTGGAATGCCCCTAAATGCCTTAATAATGGCCAAGGGTGAGAAGAGACCGCTCTTCCTCTCGAAATGCTCTCACATTGCCACTCGTATACAGCCACCGTCAAGAAAGTCCCACTCATTGCCTTCTTGCGACGGGGGTGTTGTTTACGAAATTGAGAGGGCGAAAAGCGAATGTCCGGCGCTTTAACCAGGTTGATGAATATAGAGGATCCACCTAGGGGAGTTGGAAAACCCTGATTCCAAACCAGTGGTGCACATGGGCTCCAGGATCCCGGAAGAATAAATGGCATATGAATCAGTTATTGGTTATCGGCCACCATGGGACTGCATCTGCTGACGTTACTCCACTGCCTTGTATATCAGTCTTTTAGGTCGAAGGTTCCGATTGATGTGGCGTATATCTATTTGGTTCCTCCTTGTACCAATATCTGTGCGTTCAAATAAATAAAATAAACGAATATTATTGTAATAATTTAGCGAAATATTCACATTTTTACTATTCCTGAGAGACTTTTGTGTGACACAAGAAATGAAAACTAATAGAATTGTTTTCTAATTATTTACATTTAATGACTGAGATTATTCATGACAGTATGCTAATCACTAAACATCAAATTGTAGGAATAATGTTTGAGTTTCTTTTTAACAATTATGTTTTCACTTACCGCCTAGTTTTATTATGTGAATACATTCTGAGCATTATTTGACAATTGAATTTATTCTTTGAATTACACATATTCTACTCACTGAGAATAAAACTAATTCAGAGTTAATACATAAAAGAGGAAGAGTTCAACATCATCTCCACATTAATTAAAGTTTTAATCAGTTTAAATGATTAATCTATGAATACAATTATGATAAATGTTAGTTGTAGATTTCTGTCAACATTGAGTGAAAACTTAAAGGGGCATCCTCATTTTTCACTCATCTTCTTTATTTCACGCCATTTAAATCAATTATGGTTTGTGTTAGTTACCACTATTCAGTTGATTTCTGGTGATTTATTGACATCATAATTGCAAGAAAATGCTAAAAGAAATCATGACGAATTTCAATATAATCATGATGCTTATTGATCAAAGTTGAATCAATTTAGTGGTAAACAATTAATAGTATTATCAGCAACATGCTATTTGAATGTGTATAGGGTGAGTGAAATGAGCTAAAGTAACGTTCGTTATAAATGGTGAATTAGTGACAGTAATAATGAAAATAAGAAAAAAAACATGAATTGGATTAAATGAAAAAAAATGTTACGTCTAGCTAACACTTATTTAATAGTAAGAGGTCACTTTTGTACTGGTTTAATGAACCAAAGCGGCTAGCAGGAAAATAAATTAATAGAGTCAGCGAAATAATAGAAAATTCGAAGGGAAAAAAGTACTCTGTAGGAAATCACTTTCTAATGTTCATATCTCTTTACTATTTTGTTTCATTATCTGGCATATGAAGTCCATATAACTTTTTAATCATTAGAAATGTTATTGTTTTACTTGTTGTAAATCTTTTTTTTGGGTGGGGGGGAATTTCTAACAGAATGGTCTTATTCAAATGTATTAACTGGACCGGAAACATGGAATCACCACTACAAAAATATGTGTTCGGGTTATTATCAATCGCCAATTGATTTGAAATCAGATATATCTATACTTGATTTACGATTAAAAACTGTGGTAATTTATCGAAATACATCAGTTGCTGAGACCACTACAATTACAAATAATGGTCACTCAGGTGAGTTCATGTTTTTTTTTCATTTTTCTATTAAATTACACTTTTGTTTTATCACTTACAATATATTAATAGAATAAAATAAACTTCCTGTTTATATATACACACTTTTCTTTACTATTTATAAGTTTACACATCCTTTATATTATATCATCGTTTGAAGGATTCATGATTTTTGGATTGATTACAGCCGAAGATAGTAATAATTCAATTTTAGTGAACCGAGATCTGCCTCCAGTTATATCGTGTGATTGCAATTGTTATTGAGATTTATGTGTCGTCAATCCTTGTATAGAAGTATTGACTTAATGCACATTAGTGTATAACGGAATTCAATAAGCCAAATACGAGTATGGATTTTCGAATACCTATATTTTGTACACTCATTGATCTGGGCAAACAATAAAAAAATGAAGCGAAGGAAATAAAGAGAAGAGAGCGAAGCGAAATGACACTCAGTGGAGAAGGCGTGTATGCCAACTCCATTTAATCAGGTGCTAATCAATACTTATAGTAACACAAGAATAAACTACAGACATGTGATAAGTAGGATAAGATATACACACATACGCTCATATAAAAGTATTCAGGGTTAATAAGTGAATAACTAACAAGAATAAAACGTGGCTCTAGAAGAATGGATAAATTGATCAGTCCAGAAGCTTGAATAAGGTATATGGGCCTAACATAGTAACGGACACAACAATACATCATACTTTGATGGCAAAATGTGTTAGTTATACCTTGAATTATGTTTTGAAATCGACTACATTACTCGTAAATTAAAGAATAAATTGTCCTTTAGACAATAATACTTCATCAAAAAAGAAAAAAATCGTATTTGTTTTATTCCCTTAGTAGTTTACAAACACATTGTGTTTTTTTTTACTTGGAAAATAAAGAATCTATCCATCGGATGACAAAACACTTATATGCAAGTTTGTCTAATATTGAGAAATATGAAAATAGATTCCATGAATAGTAAAAGGGACCTGACATGAAAATAAACTGGTTAATGTTTTCCGCTTCATTAACATATCTACAAAATTTGTTTAAAATGCAAATCCGATGCATGATATCTCAATCAGTCTTACATTCCATTTATAGAAAGCCAACTAATTGTACATCCTTGATTCAAATTCATTAACATATTGGAGCATTTTATGGTTGTGACATGGTTTTCAAGAAAATGATTTAACTAACTCGTAAGAATTAACGTGGCTTATAAATATCATTGATTTTAACAGCCAAATATATGCAACTATCATACAATGAAATTACATTGTCATTTATTTAAATATAACAATCCATTAATTAAATGTTTAAATGAACACAAACTCTAATGACTGACACTAGCATTTAATGTTTCATTTGAAAAAGATTTTCAGTTCTAAACTGAACTAAAAGTACTTCATGTTCTAGAATACAACACATATATAATGAAGCCCAATGCTTTTCTCCTGATAAATATATGTATTGACTGATAGATAGTTGTTTTAAATCAGACTAATATTGTAGCTAAACAAGTTTCCACAGAGGACAAAACTACAGATATATCAAGCTATATTTACCCTAGTTTTGAATATTAGTATAGTTTCTGAATAAAACATCTTGCTTTCAGTATACACCTATTGTTTATTAGTAATCATCGGAATAGTCTAACATTATTAAATATATAGATCTTCTTTCACAAAATAAGATATAGATTCATTATATAACATTTTCAATGGTTGGGATCATGAGTTAATTAAAGCTAGACCACCATGGAAAACCTGGAAGCACTGGACCGCCGTTTTGCTCTAATGTAGGACTCCTCAGCAGTACGTATTCACAACCCCATCTTGTGGGATTTAAACCCACGACCTATCAGTCTCGCGCACAAGCGCTTAACTCATTAAACCACTGAGATAACTGGCATCCAACGGTGTTAATGTTTAACTGGAACTAATGCGTGAAATTGAGCGACACATCCACCATTGTCATCACTGAGTTACTATCTCACATCTTCATAAATCCAATTATAGTGATAATAGGTTAGTGATTTACTATTTATATATATGGCGGCCTGCTTGAGCATCTGGGCTACCTGTTCCTGCCATCTAGATATTTCAACGAAAAGAATGTACATTATTCAGATATTCATTTACTGGACTGTTAACATCTAGCTGGCGATCCCTCAATATTTATCGCGAGGACCGACCAAGAAGAAAGAAACAGAAACTTGTTGAAATACTTTGTGCTGAGAATTCTATATTGTACCAATAATATAATATTGAATAAAGCTAATAATAATAATAATAATAGGTTAGTGATTTACTATTTATATATAATGATAAAAAACAGATATATTCGGTCACTTAGTAAAATGATATTGAATTTGTATACTTAGAACCGATAAACTTGTTTGTCTGGTGATTTAAAAGAAATAGAATCGACATCAATTGGGTTGTTTGGTTGTATTAACTCAATTGCTTAGTATTCATTAATACATTTAATGCTAGAAAACAGAGAATTTATTGACTATGTTTTGTGACTTATACAATCTTTTATGTATCATATATTACTAATTTAGCTGATGTTACATTTTCACAAAACACTTGGTTTATATCATTTGATGGCTTACGTGACTTTAAATATGAAATTGCAAAAATGCATTTTCACTGGGGTAATACTGATGATCGTGGATCTGAGCATACTATTGATGGAATTAGATTTCCTTTAGAAGTAAGTGTGTATGTAAATTATTGTCATTTGACTTTAACATTCTTTTTCACATACATCAAGAGTGAAGAGAGCACATTATGAATGTTTTGATATTGCTAATTGCTGATGAACGATTTTAGATGTGATCATATATCTCTAAGAACCAGAGTGATAATTGTTCATGAAGATCTAATGAGTCAAGTGAATTAAAAAGCATATTCCTTTGTGCGAAATGACACAATTATGTACAACAGCTTAATCACGAAACATATCCGATCATGGTCTATTGAGAATATAAACAAATAAAGGTTATAAGTAATTAGGTTTCTTCACCAGCGAATAAACGTGAAAAAATGGCAACTAGCCTTCATTCTTATCAGTCATGTTTAAATATACTGTTTTTATTCTTAACACTAATTGTAGGGACATATTGTATCGTTTCGAAAAGAGATGTATTCTTCACTCCAGGAAGCTATCGGTCGACCAGGTGGACTGGCTGTTCTTGGTATCATGCATAATATTGTTGAATCAATAAAATCTAACCAAACAGTGTTCAAGGCATACAACAGTTTTTCTGGTGTACTGAATTCACAATTCGCTCCTCCAAATGCTTTGACAGTTGATAATATGAATTTATCGCTAATTCTAAGCTTCTTGAATCCTAGTCGTTATTTTCGCTATTTTGGTTCACTGACAACTCCACCATGCACAGAAAATGTTCTTTGGACTGTTTTTATGGATCCAGTGCCAATTACACGTGAACAGGTAATCATAATTCTACGTTAACCGAATAAATTCGAGTTTCCCTATTTTCAAATGAACCAGACAATACTTAAATCAAATTTAGTACATTGAAATAGATGTAATATTATGTTATTTTGCCATAAATTTATTGAAATAAATTAATCAATAACTAATTAGTAACGTCATCCTGTTAATCTCAACTCTTTCAAACAAGTTTCAATGTACTCACTAGTTTGATTCACTCAACAGTGTGTTTTTTTCTATGCTGTTCAAGGTTGACAGTAACCGATGGAGGTACTGGAATACTTATTTTGTGATAGTTGATGCTGATTACCTAAGCTTATTCAAAATCATCTGAGAATTAGTGTAGTGATCTGTATTTATTACGTGTTTGGATTTCAGTAAACTAGTACGTTCTGCTTTGAATCGTGAATATGTTCACCTTATTTGAAACAATGCCTGAGAAGCAGAAACATCCCACGAACTATTATATACTGAGAAAGAGCCAACCGTCACCTAGTACAGTGACTTACTTATGTCATCCAAATTCAAACAAATTAGTCTAGATGATTAATTAAACGTAGAACAAATTAAACTTCACTTCGTAAACAAACATATACAAAGAATATAGAAAACATTCAACAAATATTTTGTTATAATCAGACAAGGGTTTTGTGAAGATTGTAGTAATTTCACAATTGAATTGACTAGTCTATTGAAGCTAGACCATCATGGAAAACATGGAAGCACTGCATGGCCGTCTCATCCTAATATGAAACTCCTCAGAAGTGCGAGACTGATAGATCCTGGTTTCAAATCTGGCGGTACGGGATTGTGGATGCGCTTCAGCTAACTCATGAATTCAATTATTAAAATATTCTGTTGTTCAGTTTGCAAGAATATCAGTGTTCCGTAATAGATGGTGAAATCCTTACGAGAGTGGAGATTCCTATGAAGTATCAAATAAATTATATTTTATGATTGATAAAAATACAAGACCCGTTTCCATTCTTCTAGAAAATCAATTTTTAATTTTCAGTACTTAGCAACAAAAAGAACAATTAGATTTATGAATGCTTCAACGATATAATTATAATTAAATCTATGAGATTCATTATATTGCGATCACCCAATGAATCATTTCATTCCAAAAATGCAGTGAATACGTTTCATGCAAACAACATTAAAATCTTAGTAATTTAAAGATCTTCAAAGGATGTTCAGGAATATGGAGCACTAAAGTGGATGGTAATTTTCGGTCACTTCTTTCTTAGATTCGACAGTAATATAACTTAAAATTATGAAATAAAATACAAAATATTAAAGTTTAATTAATTCTTATATTATAAATTGAAAATGTCATTTTCTTATAGAAAGAAAACAATCATTTGCCCTGATACTGTTTATTTTATTCGTCAAATCATGTTTTTGTTCTACCATTACCGACATTATTAACGTCACTTACAATATACTCTCTTGAATAGACTAATTCTTACAGTTAACGGTAGAATAAAGTTTGCCTTATATATTAGCGAATCTTAAACAATCTAAGCATTGACATAAATGTGTAACAGTTCATATATTCACATTTGATGTCCGATTATTAAGAGAGTATAAACATTATGACAGTTAAAAGAATTAATATAGCAGTATGAGCAAAGATAGATCGTGGTGGGCAGTGAAATTCAGGGTGCGCGTTTCGTCCTATCTGGCACTCGTCAACTGGATATGCCAGCATCACAGAGTTGTCGTTCACTTCGACACTTGAACCCAGTATTAGGACTCAGTATCTAAGTGAATAATACGATAGCGTTTGAAATGAATGGTACTGGGTTTGAGTCCCAGAGTAAACATTAACTATCGGGTGCAGGTACTCCCGGTTGATGTGTCCCAGATCAGGAATACACAAGCGTCCTAGCTTCCACTGCCAGCCACCATCCACTTTTGCTTAAAATGATTGTGATTTAAGGCAATATGGAGGCAATCCGAACAGGATGAACATATATAAATAAGAGACTGATCAATCGCAGTCCTGAACATCAATGGGAAGATTCAAATAAACAGTACAATATAAATTTAATATAGTAGTGTTATTTATTATATTACAAAATTAAGCAGAGTGAATTCAGTTGAGAAACCGTAAATAAAATGGAAAAAATTCAAAGTATGATATGATTATAAAGCATGTGAAAAAGATAAAAACTAAATAAATAAATGCCATTTTATTTATGCTTGAGTCATACCATTTAAAGCTTTCATCTGCTAATATCTGCAATTGTATAAAGTCTAATTAGGAAATCTGCAGTTCTCAATTTGTCTTGTCACTAGCCTCATAGACTTATTATAACCGAATCACAACCCATACATGTGTTGTTTATCATTTAATTATTAAAGGGATTTACACCTTAATCTTGGCTGAACGTGTAAATAAACTTCTCACCATGTTTTATTACATTAGTATTTATTAGTCTTTGAATAATATTTGTATTATACTGTATATGACTCTTTCCAGGTTAATCTATTTCGTAGTTTACCTTATGGTCCAAATGAAATACAAACTACTATGGGTGATAATTTTCGTCCTATTCAACCATTAAATCCACCCGAAACACTTGCACCACGTTCTCTATATCGAGCTACAGCATCACGTCTTTCATTATTATCTATACCAGGTTTATTATGTATCATGTTGACCAGTCAACTTACTGTGATATTTTCTTAATTCATTTAATTCAAAACTATTTATGTCTGATATATTTAGCTTCTTCTAGACCAAAATTATTGCGCTTTCATTCTTTGAATTAAAAACAAAAAGAGGATACTTACCCATACTACTTTGTAGAGTAAATTTTCTCGTTTTATTTTTTTCTTTATTTTTTTTTAAATTTCTCATATTTTGTAAATAACTTGGTCATATTCCAAAATATTTTGAAGATGTGTTATATTTGGCTTGATTTCACATCATAATGTTTATCTTATTAGATTAATATGATTATGCCATATATGTATCTGTAAGAGTTCCTTGGTCAATAGCCTCATTAGTTACTGTCCACTACTTCTAGCTCTTAATTAGTTGGTTAATATTTTCCTTTACAAGATTCAAGATGAAGTGGAAAAAAATATTATGTATTCATGATTCATTCATTGTAGTTAATTATCAATGAATAATAAAAAAGAAATGACATTTCATCTAATGACTTTATTTTGTTGAGATTTTGTAATTCTCTTTTATTTTTACCTGAAATTTGGTTACGAAGCATATTGTAAGCCAATACAATAGGTAGGAGGAAAGTATATTTATTGTAAAAAGTTACAATTTATTTACACAATAATTATACATAGCCATCATTCGTCCATTGGCATCTTTCGGTATGTTCTGGAATCTCAAATGTTTTCTCGAGTGGTCTCGAATTATCTGACAATATTTGGCTTTCAATGCACTGAAACATTTCACTTTGATGTCATGTTCCGCTACACACTACTTGATATCAATCTTGTGAGTAGCGTTCACTTCAACACAATTAAAGATATAAAATGCAACAAATTTACTGAGAGCGTATAAAGTAACAATTCTCTAAATGAAGATCATATTTTTTACGAGTATGAAGAGCTGTACTGTTATAATTTTAGTCTTCTTACTGGTAGTGTACACATAAGGCCTAAAATCGAACTTACTCGAGAACCTTCACATTAGGTGGTAATAATGGTACTTCTATACCGGTTCGTTCAAATCTAGTTTGCAGGACTTCCAAATTCAGGTGAATCGCTATGTAATCGTGATAGCTTACTACTTTTCAAGATCATCCCCATGGCAAATTCAAGACTCTTGAGTGAAAATGTGAGTGTGGATCACTAAATCTTGCCTCGAGGATTTGAAGATATTTTGATCTCCAAGACACTTAAAGAAATGTACAGTTGTAGATGAGCACAATAAACAACTTCATATCTGACGGTAGAATTCAAGTACAAAAACTCTCACTTTGCAAAAGTTTTAATAAGTGTTTCGGAGAACAAGGTTTTGAACATGCTCACTATATTGAAGTGAACTCATTGTTATCATTTCTATATGTAGATGTTTTTATCCCCAGGTTTAACCGATGACCCTATTTTATGCGTGGACATATGATTCTCGTTTCACTTTATGTCAAGAAATGGTCCTTTCTGTATTTTAGCCAAAACTTTAAGTATCATCAAGAACTGAAATTATAGCCAATACACATCAACAGTTCTTTAAAAAGTGTTAACTGTGAGTCTGGGATTGATCATACTAATTTAAGACCACCTAACAGGAATCAGTCAATTCACAGTTATAAATTCATTCATTTCGCAATCGCCTATACAATCAGTGTTACATGATGTAAGTATTTCACTTAAAGTTTACTGTTCTTACGATTTATCTGAAGTATCATAGCTAGAGATTGATTTATAAAACCGCCTGTAGAATATAAAACCTTTATATTAATGTATAAAGGTTATGAAGAAACAATAAGCATTTCAAAGCGACACATAGTGAACCCATGAACTATGAAATAAGCATAAGAACCACTGAAAGACGATATGTGCTGATCAACCATTTTATTTAGGTGTGTGTCTTCTTAATGGTAGTATTCATTCGCGATTCTATAGACGTTGGTTGAAATTCTAATTTCTGACTACTTCGGGATCTCATTTGAATCAAAATCAACATATAATTGATGTGTCGCTTATTGCTATTGAAGAACGAGTTAACCTGTTGTTATGTAATTATTCAAATCATCCAATAAATTAAAGGTCATTTACAGAAGACAAGTTTAATTTACTCTGTATATTTTCGAGTTAATCAAGTAGCATCGGTAGGATAGTACATACATTTTCCATGTAATATATACGAGTTTCATTGGATCACAATTACACAAATAAAAAATATATCACAGGAGTGTTCTGTATTATCCGCGAATATAGAGCTATTATGTTGAAAAGAAAAAGCCGCCACAAAAAACAGTCAACTGTCAAAAACACATTTTTCCTTAATTTTAAATGTACTTGTTACGTACAATAACTTTTTCCATTTGTAATTTAGTATCTAATTATATCGAGATATGCATGAAATATTTCAGTAACAGATGCTTTGTGAGAGTTGTTAAAGAATACATTATTTCTATAGTAGTATTCCTTGATGTAAGAAGACAGAGTAGTCACCGCAACCCTTAAACACGGATTTCATGCTAGTTTTGTACTAATCAGTAAATTTTGTCTGAAATTTTAGAAAAAAATGCTCCTGTACTAATAGAAAGTTATTTCCCTCAGTATCGTTTTCACTAAGTATAACACTCAACGATTACAACTAATTAACCATGAAGTCGTAATTAATGCCATGTCTAATAACCAGTGCTATTTGCATTTTCGCACTGAATTAGTCTCCACTTTACTGAATACTGAATTTCATTTGATTATACTACCAAGGTAAGCTCGTATGTATTCGAGTACTGAGTAACAAATTTATAGGATGAGAATTAAGCCAACCGGTGATATACGAAGGAGATAAACCTTTTAGTTAACATTTGTAAACACTATGGAGAAGGAAAACACAATAATCAAAAAATACAACCACATACAAAATCTCACTATAAATCATAGTTACGATAGTCTGGCATCAGAGCATTATCAGTTTGCAGCAAACAAAACTGCTTTCCCTCAGAAATAGTCAAAGCCTACGTAAATGAACCCAAACTAAGAGTGAACATGATACTATAAGACCATATGGCAAGAATATTAGCATTGAGGCTAATAAACAAATGAGCAGCGATGGATGGTGACTAGCAGTGAGATTCAAGATGAGCGTTTCGTCCTATTTGGAACTCGTCAACTGGGTGTGCCTGCATCCCTTATTTGTTATTCATTGTTCATTGTTTTGTAAACATTAACAGTAGAATAAATTGAATAATATAGAAGTCAATGAATCAAGTTAACCAATGGATAGTAAATAACAATATGATACAATTGATTTTGGTTCATCAGTAACAAATCAAGTATCGATTAATTTAACATTAAACGTCCCTTGATTCAATAATATTCGTTACATTTATATGTTTTAATCATGAATTCAATGAGATTAGTTTTTGACTTTTACATAAATGTCTACTCAAAAATGCAATATTCACTTAATTGCATAATCACAAATTACTAAACTGTCTTTTGTTGAGCTCATAAAATTTCTCAGGATAAAAATAACAAAAATATAAGGTGAGATTATAATTTATGGACGACCTTTGAGACCTTGAGCACGTCCACCTATTACTTACTTACTTACTTACTTACTTACGCCAGTTACTCCTGATGGAGCATAGGCCGCTGACCAGCATTCTCCAACCCACTCTGTCCTGGGCCTTCTTTTCCAGTTCTATCCAATTCTTGTTCATTCTTCTCATGTATATCTCCGTTTCCCGGCGTAATGTGTTCTTTGGTCTTCCTCTTTTCCTTTGGCCTTGAGGATTCCACGTGAGGGCTTGTCTTGTGACGCAGTTGGGTGCTTTCCTCAATGTGTGTCCTATCCACTTCCAGCGCTTCTTCTTAATTTCTTCCTCTGCTGAGATCTGGTTTGTTCTTTCCCACAGTTGGTTGTTGCTAATAGTGTCTGGCCAACGGATCCGAAGTATTTTGCGTAGACAACTGTTAATAAACACTTGTGTTTTCTGGATGATGGCTTTCGTAGTTCTCCAGGTTTCCGCTCCATACAGTAGAACTGTCTTGACATTTGTATTGAAAATCCTGACCTTGATGTTGGTTGACAGACAGTTGTTTTAAGTTCCGTACGTTCTTCAGTTGTAAATATGCTGCTCTTGTTTTGCCGATCCGCTCCTTCACATCTGCATCAGATCCACCGTGTTCATCGATGATGCTGCACAAATATGTAAAGGTTTTTACATCTTCCATATCTTCTACGCCAATTGTGACTCGGTTGTTGCATGTTGTGTTGTATCGGAGAATCTTTCTTTTCCCTTTGTGTATATTGAGACCTACTGCTGTTGAGGCTGCTGCTACACTGGTCGTCTTCTTCTGCATTTGTTGTTGCGTTTGGGATAGAAGGGCCAGATGTTGGCGTTTTTTTAGCGAGTTAGTTTTCTACGGGATAGGGACGCTAACCCCATGCCCAACCCTCCTCCTTTATCCGGGCTTGGGACCGGCAGTAGTCCCCGGAGAGACTCCGGGCGGAGTTCCGTCCACCTATTAACTAGTGCTAAATGAGGGTTATAAACCAGTATGAGGAATTAGAATTAAGATGGTTAGGGTTACGAATTAGATTTAATGTTTTCATCAAGAACTAACATCAGCTATAATGCCGAAACTCAATTTAACCAAATGAATTTTGCGCCACGATCCAAAACCTGTTATCTTACATCCGATTGGTTCGCCCATAAATTATAGTTTCGCCTTTAGTATGAATTAATGTTTACCTTTGCATGGACAAATGTAAATAGTTTTGATGAATGAAAATATGATAAATCAATTTGGAACGTTTGTTGGCTAAAATGAGAATTATTTAACATAAATTTCAAATTCAATCAAGTTAACATTGAATACTCTCTGTATGTTGATCATTTGAATTGTCTTTTGAAAATCCATTCATAGAAGTATCTTCAACTTATCATCTTGACTTTCAGCATTACAGATGACTAATTGGCTATCTTGCATAGAGTTCACCCTCGAATTTTCAACATTCTATATACTTTAAAGATGTTTACGAAGGTTTAATGATTGATATTTTAACAATTATTCAGTGAAACTAAGAATTTAGTATACATTACATCACGGGAACTAAAATGTAGTTCTAAAATCGCTCGTATAATGTTGACAGAATTTTAACTAATCTCTATTAGCATATATGAATCTTGCGCAGACTGTCTCGATACTTCCATTTTTCAGAAACTTTCATAGAATAGATAAATTTGTGGCTGGTAGGGATAGCCAGGACTCGCGTTTAGACCGAACCTGGTTATGTGCACGTACATCCAATGTCGATACTAACATCATGAATTGAACCTAGCACCCCTAGCTTCAAACGCCCAACACGTTAATCATTCAGCTACTGAATCTAGAAAGCCACTCAGATATGATATTTATATCATGATTAAAAAAGATTTCAGTTATCGCTTTGCTGACAATCGTAACGGGATTCCAATCAGTCTTTTTATTAAAATATTTGCACACCATGAATATAACACGTTATTCATTTGAAGCGAAATATACTGGTTACGAGTCCTGGTGTAAAAATGAACACTGGTATCCAAAGTCGCCTAGCTAGCTACTATGGTATAGATCTTTACGCTTATACATGAATGTTC